TAATATTCCCACCTCTTGACTGATGCCATTGTAACAATATAATCAATGTTGTTCACTTCACCTGACAGTAGTTTTAAAGTTTTGGCTGATCAATGTAAGTGTCCATTAGAACCATATCAGCAGGCAATGTCACAATATTTGCATTAAAGATTTAGAACCCCAAAATAGACAGGTTCTGAAAGTAAGATCAACTGCCACATGTGAATTCCTGCACACCAAAATTCATGAACAGACTGAGCTGTTCCCAGAGAGAACTCTGGCCAAAGAATTCCAGGCAGAGAAGTGCTACCTTCACACTTCAGTTTCCGGACATTGAAGAGAACATTTATGGTCACTTAATTAGTGAAATTTGCAATTAGATCATAACTTTATTACTATTTGGCAATGAGAAGGACCAATACAAAATCGTATTAAGTCAAATAATAAGAGGAAATAATACAGCTTTTCATTTTACCTGTGTGCATTGTAAATTTTTACAGACATATTTTACATTACAGGATAATTTCCATTTTTTTGTTTTTTGGCAATGAGAGGACACTTTAAAGCAAGTGAAGCAATTATGTTTTTTAAAGGGTTGTGTCATGATCTTGAGCAGGTCAGAGAGGAGACTTATGCCAGGGTTGACTTCAGGTACTTTATTTGTGCTCTTAGACTTAGTATGAACAGGATATCCTATAATAGAAATTATAGGAAAGAGAGAGGGAGAGAAAACAGAAATAAAGGGGCTTAGGCCATATGCCCAAAATAGATTATAAACAGGAATGAAAGTAAATAATAAAACCTATAGTTAAAAGTATAGGTTAAAATAGGACCAGTAAAAAAACAGAACAATTAGGTTGCAGGATTACAGGAAAAGGAGAACTTTAGTTAATCAGCCCCAGTTAGAAGGAGTATTGATCAAGCAGGAAAATAACACCATAATATATTACTTTGAGACAGAGTCCAGATTGGTGTAATGTAGGTAGGTATGGAGCAGACAAGTTGTATGGATCAGGCTGGTAGAAATCAGGTGGGTAAGATAAAGTGTAGTTCAGGCTGGTATTGAACAGGGTTGGAAGTAAGCAGGATTGAGGAGAGGTTCAGGCTGGTATTGAGCAGGGTTGGAAGTAAGCAGGATTGAGGAGTAGTTCACGCTGGTATTGAGCAGGGTTGGAAGTAAGCATGATTGAGGAGTACTTCACGCTGGTATTGAGCAGGGTTGGAAGTAAGCAGGATTGAGGAGTACTTCAGGCTGGTATTGAGCAGGGCTGGAAGTAAGCAGGGTTGAGGAGTACTTCAGGCTGGTATTGAGCAGGGTTGGAAGTAAGCAGGGTTGAGGAGTAGTTCAGGCTGGTATTGAGCAGGGTTGGAAGTAAGCAGGGTTGAGGAGTAGTTCAGGCTGGTATTGAACAGGGTTGGAAGTAAGACGGATTGAGGAGTAGTTCAGGCTGGTATTGAGCAGGGCTGTAAGTAAGCAGGATTGAGGAGTACTTCAGGCTGGTATTGAGCAGGGTTTGACGTAAGCAGGGTTGAGGAGTAGTTCAGTCTGGTATTGGACAGGGCTGGAAGTAAGCAGGATTGAGAAGTAGTTCAGGCTGGTATTGAGCAGGATTGGAAGTAAGCAGGATTGAGGAGTAGTTCAGGCTGGTATTAAATAGGGTTGGAAGTAAGCAGGGTTGAGGAGTAGTTCAGGCTGGTAATGAGCAGGGTTGGAAGTAAGCAGGATTGAGGAGTAGTTCAGGCTGGTATTGAGCAGGGTTGGAAGTAAGCAGGGTTGAGGGGTAGTTCAGGCTGGTATTGAGCAGGGTTGGAAGTAAGCAGGGTTGAGGAGTAGTTCAGGTTGGTATTGAGCAGGGCTGGAAGTAAGCAGGATTGAGGAGTACTTCAGGCTGGTATTGAGCAGGGCTGGAAGTAAGCAGGGTTAAGGAGTAGTTCAGGCTGGTATTGAGCAGGGCTGGAAGTAAGCAGGGTTGAGGAGTACTTCAGGCTGGTATTGAGCAGGGTTGGAAGTAAACAGGGTTGAGGAGTAGTTCAGGCTGGTATTGAGCAGGGCTGGAAGTAAGCAGGGTTGAGGAGTAGTTCAGGCTGGTATTGAACACAGGGTTGGAGGTAAGCAGGGTTGAGGAGTAGTTCAGGCTGGTATTGAGCAGGATTGGAAGTAAGCAGGATTGAGAAGTAGTTCAGGCTGGTATTGAGCAGGGTTGGAAGTAAACAGGGTTGAGGAGTAGTTCAGGCTGGTATTGAGCATGGCTGGAAGTAAGCAGGGTTGAGGAGTAGTTCAGGCTGGTATTGAGCAGGGCTGGAAGTAAGCAGGGTTGAGGAGTACTTCAGGCTGGTATTGAGCAGGGTTGGAAGTAAACAGGGTTGAGGAGTAGTTCAGGCTGGTATTGAGCAGGGCTGGAAGTAAGCAGGGTTGAGGAGTACTTCAGGCTGGTATTGAGCAGGGTTGGAAGTAAGCAGGATTGAAGCAAAGAAGGTAAACCCAGCTACAATAAACAGTTCAAGATGGCTTAAGTCTTGTTTTCAACTTCATTTAATTAGTTTATTTTCCCATTTCCTGACTTGAAACTATTATTATGAACTAAATTTCCTGCAAACATTAGTTGAAAGCTCAAACATTAGTAAAAAGTCCCCAAATTGTGCTATTGTCTTGTCAAATGAGCCCCTTTTTAAGTTATTGTCGTGTAAATCAAGGCACTTTTTATATCTTGGCTCTACTTTCTCAACTCCCTGTAAGACAAACTAAAAATGTTAAGACCTCCATTTTTTTTCACAACTCACAATGGGTAGCTTGATTCCTGGCTACCCTTTACAGACCTAAGCTATTTTAACTGTGGCAGACCTAAGCTATTTTAACTTACACTTCAATGGAGACAAATTAACATTGTGATAGTGTTACCACTAGTGAATCTCATGATGTTATCTCCTTAGATTTATACAATATTTTCTTTAAGACTGGACATTATTAAGTTATTTACATTAGTTAATTGGTACATATTCTGCATAACAAAAAGCAAATAATAGATACATAATTTGTTAATTGGCAAAGTACGAAATCATCCCGGTTCCACTTTAAATATAACTTTCTGTAGTCTCCACAACAACAGTAATGCTTTGGCGGTCCATATGACACAGGCATCTGCTAACAGGGTATTTGCTAAAGTGAGAATTCAAAGTGTATTTCAATTTAAAGGCCAAAAATGGCCAAATTAAAAAAATTCTCCAAGTCAGGTATGCTTCCAGTCTAGATACTTTGGCCTACATTTGGAATTCACTTTGAATTCACATTGAATTCTTACTTTAGAGGATAACCCTGATAGTCTTTATGTTCAGATCACGTCATTTGCCACTGTCATTTGTTCTTTCTTATGTCTCGGTTTTCTGTGAGCTCTTAGCTTTGTTGTTAATAAAAATTTTATAGCAATTAAAACTTACAATAATCTATCTATGAACTATAGTAAATTTTTAAAGAAATTCATCTCTGAAAGATTTTTTACTCTTGTTCTAAATTACAGATTCAGTTACATAAACATCAGATCAGTAAATCGCCTAAAATGTCATGAAATAGCTTAGCCATTCCACAACCCTAAAAATGTAAATTTCTCTTTTAGGCCATTTGAAATTTTGGATGTATAGTTTTATATGGATATATGGATATATATTTACTATCTCCTCCAGCTCTGCTTCACTCCCACCTAATTTGACTGCAATTTCCTGTCCTAATGTGTTTTATACCCCACCTCCTATAGACTGTAAGCTCCTTTGAGCAGGGCCCTCTTCAACCTATAGTTTCTGTAAGTTGTCTTGTAATTGTCCTAGTTGGCGCTGTATAAATGGCAATAATAATAATAGTGGTGGAATACTTTTTTTAGGGTGGTGTTAAAAAAAACATATATGTAAGTTAGGAGAAAAAAAAAAAACATTTTAGGAAGCAATTGAAATACATTTCAATCATGTAAACATTTAGCCACCTGACAATTCTTCACAATGTATTATACACATATACAAACACACAGTGCATGCAGTAATCAGCAATTTATGCAGCACATTTATCAATAATGCAAGAATGAGTGACACATATTGCTGTCCAGAAGATTTTTAAATTGCAGGAATTATCATTAAAATAAAAATAATTGCAGTTGCATGGATAATACAAAATAATTGCTAAAAAACAGATTTGAAATTAAAAAAATTTAAATTAATATATTGATTTTGTGTAATAAACATCGGAAAATGTATAAAATAATTTGAAAATTGCAAACCTTTCCCCTTAAATATTACTGATATCAGTTCCTAAATCTTCCTGACAAAGCACAAATATAATTTAGACTACAACGTGTGTTTGCACGCTTGGCAGTCAAACACACAGAACATGATAATATTAGAATATTTTATTCTGAATGTTGTCATCTCATTAAAACTTTATTTAGTAAAATAAATAAATCTGCTGAAAGGTGGCAAAGTTGCAGAAAATCACCTGATCTGGTATATTGTATTACTATTTGCATTATATATATATATATAGGGGCTTAGAGATTTGCAATAATACGTTAGCCGTACCTGTCACACTTTGCTGACACAGCTAAATTTAAGTCAAGTGGGAGATTAACAATAGCCAGTTTCATTCTTTACTACAAAAATCAACTGATGATGCTACAGCATGACTCAATAATATTAAAATAAAAAATAAAATAAACTGTATCAAGTGTTAAATGTATACATTAATCTTTTGAAAAATATTGCAGAGAAAAAATAACTTGATTTGATAATGCACGGAAAAAATAAACATTTCAATGACCATCTTCTTCATAAAACAATTATAACATTCCTTCCCTGCTAACAGCTATCTGTCTGGCAAAAGGCCTGCTGGATCTCAGCTGGGAGTTTTCTAAGGATCTCCTTTTCATGGGCAAACATTACTTCACCTGCCCTCCAGATCGCTTCTCCTCCTCCTTCCATAAGCCTCCCAGCTGAGCAATGTTAATCAGATGGGGGACACAAGGTAACATTAAAGTAATTCAGCCAATTAGGCCCTGAATTGTTTGCATCCAAGAGCATTTTGTATTTCTGCAAATGTGTGAAATGCAAAATGTGCCCTACAGCACAAATGACAGCAGTCATGTACTGGCGGCATGTCAACAGACCCTCGGAATGGCTGATGGCTGATATTGATGCAATACATATGTTTAGGAGAGTGTGGACTTTTTTTTTTTACGTACGTGATTTTCTACTGAGAGAAGTCAGAGCTAAGGGTCTTTGTGGCAGATGGGCAAGGGTACCAGGGATTGGCTAATCCCAAATCTGCATTCTCTTCTTCACGTAGCAACTGGGGAAAGATGGAGCCAGCTGTCAAATGGAAGGCTTTCATGGTCCCTTGAACACAACAGCTGCACGAGCCCTGCCTGCTTGGTTCTAAATTATTAAACATCTCTTTAGTTTGTTCCAGCTGCAGGCATCAGTGTGTTTATGCAGCCTTTGTGCATTTTACATACGATTCCTTCTCCCCTCCTCTCATCAAAATGCTGTTTGTAAAAGTCATTATCCCATCTGTGCCCCAGTTTGGCCAAACAGCCTAAGACAAATCCGATTCTATTCTCCTTCTAGGGCAATTTGGGAGTTGAAGATGATTGCACTGACTTGAGACTTTAGGGGTTTGGTGCTTTTGCTAGCTTTCTCTGTGCCACCTGTAAGCAAGTCGTGTCAACTCCACAGCTTAAGGATACAGACATGTAATAAGAATCTTTGCAAGTAAGATTTTATCCTTGAAAACACAGCTTTAGAAATAAAAAATGGGAAAAAAAAAGCTTTTCCCTTTCTGTCTACAAGGATTTTTTCAGAGCATTTTCAGAAGGGAGGAGGCTGATCGGAGAAACAGCTTTAAATAATCTCTCACTGGCAGATAGCATCCCTGTAGGTTTCAACAACAATAATACTGTTATTATTTTCAGTAGACATGAATATTCACAGACTTGGTATAAACCTACACTCTTGAAAACAGATAGTTTTGCAAAGAGTATAGTGACTCTTAACTCATCCAATACAGTTTGAAATAATAATTGAACAAACACGAAACTGGCAATGCAAAACATAAGCTGGAGTATTCATTATCTTCCCGAACAAAAAGAAAAAAAAAATAACTTATTTCAAATTCCTGTTTCCTGTAGCATAGTATGTTAAAGCCAGATTCCAACACAGAAAGTGAAGAAAAGCTGGCAGGAGAAACAATTCTGCAGATGTATTAACTATTTCACTAAAGCTTCAGTGCGTGTAAACAAAGAGAAAGTCATCAATTGCTCCGCTTCTGCCCAATATATCTTTATGTATAAATATCCATTAACATTAAACTGCAATGGCAATTTAGATCCGAATATATTTAGTATATATCCACTATTGGCAGGTGTCTTGTTTGTAGATCAGTCCTCGACCACCTGGACAATATAATTGCAATGTTTACTTATGCTATCATTGGATAATTGTAGCTATTGTATCTGTGATAGTATTCTTTACGGATTATAACAGCAGTTTGTGGATTATTAAGGTGGTCATGATGGGCAACAAAAATGGATCGTTTGGCAAGGCACGAGTTCATTGTTCAGTTTGCAAACAGTTCGTTAAAAACAGATTTTAATTATTTAAACCATATTTAAACAACTGCATGAATGATAAGAGATCATGGTTAGATTTATCAAGGCTCAACAGGTGCTATGTTAGTGTGATGTGCTGAACATTGAGAGATATTCTATTGGTTTCCATGGTAATTGCCTGTTTTGCCTTCATAAATCTCCTCTTATTGGAAGGATTATCAAGGTGGAAACAGGTGTTATTCTTGAGAAAATAGAGTTCCCAGTTGTCCGCTTTTGTGAGACAGTTCTGGTTTCAGTATTCTGTCTGGCCGTCCCTTCCCTGGTCCGTTCCCTGCTGTCCAGCATCAGTGTACACTAGGTGGCATAGTGTGAGCGCATTGACACATTTATCACACCTAACTGTTATATACAAATATTCACCTACTTACATGGGTAAATAACCACACTAAACATCATGCATGAACACACCCTCATACAAAACAACATGCACAATGGCAAATGCTGTCCTCTTTAGACACGTGACATTTAAACTTTCTACCTATTTGCACACTCATTCTACTCGTATGTAAGTATTCACATTCCTTACATATTTGCACTTTCAAGATACCTCACAGCTTTTCTCCCTGGGGATACTGGAACAGGGTTGTTGTTTCTTAAAGGGACAGGGACAAGATTGAGAGCCTGCCATTAAAGTGAGTAGTTTAAAAGGAATGGAATGCAAGCCAGGCTGACTGACAGATTCCCTGGCTGGTGGCTCTAAGGGCAGACCACACATAGAGCCCTGCTGAAGCATCCTGTACAGGGTCTAAATATCATGACACTATTTAGCACAGTATGAGTGTGTCTAATAATACCTTCACGTAGCGCTGGGGACAGTTGACTGGTGCCACCAGTTGCGAGACACCAAGGAGCCAAACAAGGATGATGGCAGAGGACTCCTAAATGACTGTTAGGGTATGCTTTCACAGTCATTATACATGCACCTACTCCACCTGTACATGCACATATTTTCTTTTATTGACTTACCAATGCTGTCCTTTGGGGTTATTAAGAGATTGATACATACAGGCATTATTCTCCACCTCCCTACAAAGTTGTCCTTGCACACTTGCAAATGGCACCACAGACACCCCTGGGTCTGATACACACAATCGCATTCTGCATTCCCTCCACGTGACCTTGAATTAGTTCCTAATTCCATTCTCCAGTCAATCTCTCCCAGTGAAGCTTGCCTAGCACTGCCTTGGACTGTGCATGATATTTTATTTGCAAACTGGCCAAAAACAAAATGATAGCAAAGAAAAACTGGCCAAAAACAAAATGATAACAAAGATAAGCAGAGAAGGGGGCAATTTGAGGTGTAAATATATTACATACACTGAGTATAGCCTCTGGAAATTAAAAATAGCACACTGGCAAATCCAACAATATTCAAATATGATACAAAAAAAGGAAAATTCTATTTAGTCATCCAACTTCTGCCACCAATTTGGAACATGCTACTCCAAGCGTGCCTGCTAGTATAAATAGCTGCCACTACCAAGGCAATTTATAACTAGAGTGCCTTAGGTTACTCTAAGCAAATGCAAAATAAAAAATAAACACACCCAGCAAAATATGCAATCGCAAATATTATTAAATAAAGGCATAACTTAATAAAGAAATATTTATTATGAACAAAAATAGTCCCAGTGCATATATTAAAAATAGATGACAAACAAGTGATTTGCACCAACAGAAAGTTATAAATAAAAAGGAGAAATTAACAGAAAATCTTAGCTACTCAATTGGCTGGTACTGTATTTGTATCTTCTATTCCTGGGCAAGTAGGTAGGGAAACTGGCAGCTCATTAAATTTAACTCTCAGCAAGCACATGGCTCTAGCTTCGAGTCTCTTAGCTGGCCCCAAATAAGGTACTTGTTGATTACACATTCCCTCTAACCTTTTGGTCAAATGAAACACCAATCTATATAAAAGAGTTTATTAAAATGTTGTTTTATCTTGTGCTGAAAAACAAATTTTTACATCCTTGGAATTGTCACAATTTATCTCTTTCTTACAAGACCCATTTGCAACTTAGAATAGTTGACTTTTCCAATTCCCCCTAATGGATTAAGGTATGCGAGGCATATTTGGACTTCTTTGGTAGAGAATATCCTCAGTGTTCTAAAAATGTATAACAAGAGACATATTTATTCACCTGGATTATTATTATTGTTGTATTTTGCTTATGATTCTGAGTAGAAAATTGTCTGCTGATTCCTAATTGTTGATTAACATATCAATAGGCCAGAGGCCCATGCTGTAGCTGGGCACCAACAGGCATATGGCAAACAGGCCTGTGGAAAAGTATATCCTGAATGTCCTTTGGGTGCAAGGTTTGCTAACGTCTTCCTGTGACCTAACACATAGCACATACCTATAATAGCCAAATAAACCCTGACAATGCTGTAATCAACCGTGGCACATTTCCTGTAACAGGGCAGATAAATTAATTCATTCAATTCTGTAATCAGCCATATCACCGCCCTACCTATTCATCCAATGCAACCACTACACACATCACATTTACTTCCTGGTTTCGTTAGCTCAGTGAAGCTAAACTCAAGAGTCAGCAATTGTCCAGAGCACCTGCCTTGCAAAGACTTATCACTGAGCTGCATTGGGAAGTCAGTGATTGGACAGCCACAGAAAGTCTGGGTTTAGAAGGGGAGTGCTGCAAAGGCTGCAGACAAGAGATCTGCAGGTTTTGTAAGCTATTTTTTAGATGTACCCACAATGAAAAAAATGCATAATTAAGTGCATGAATGTTTTTATCAGGGGTATATCCACTAAACAGTTATGTTTATTTAGTTTATATTTTGGCAGTGCAATGGCCTTTTAAGTATGATTGGAATTTATAAAACCAAAGATCATGCACACTTTTTATTTTTAATTGCTGTTTGGAGTTTGTTGGGATAAATAGTGCTTACATTCAGAGGAAACGTAAAATTGCTAATTGCATGAAACAAGGAGAAGTCCAAATATGTGTTCAAAAAATATATATTTACTTATACACATATACAGTTGCAAGAAAAAGTATGTGAACCCTTTGGAATGATATGGATTTCTGCACAAATTGGTCATAAAATGTGATCTGATCATCATCTAAGTCACAACAACAGACAATCACAGTCAGCTTAAACTAATAACACACAAAGAATGAAATGTTGCCATTTTTTTATTGAACATACCATGTAAACATTCACAGTGCAGGTGGAAAAAAGTATGTGAACCCTTTGATTTAATAACTGGTTGAACCTCCTTTGGCAGCAATAACTTCAACCAAACGTTTCCTGTAGTTGCAGATCAGACGTGCACAACGGTCAGGAGTAATTCTTCACCATTCCTCTTTACAGAACTGTTTCAGTTCAGCAATATTCTTGGGATGTCTGGTGTGAATCGCTTTCTTGAGGTCATGCCACAGCATCTCAATCGGGTTGAGGTCAGGACTCTGACTGGGCCACTTCAGAAGGCGTATTTTCTTCTGTTTAAGCCATTCTGTTGTTGATTTACTTCTATGCTTTGGGTCATTGTCCTGTTGCAACATCCATCTTCTGTTGAGCTTTAGCTGGTAGACAGATGGCCTTAAGTTCTCCTGCAAAATGTCTTGATAAA